GTATCCACACATGTATCTGAGTTTCCTATCAATACAATTCTAGCATGGATAATAAACGATTATCATGAACAAGGAAATATAATAATAATAATCAATTTATTATTGCCTCTAGGGCATATTTCCAACAGTCTCCCATTTCCAACAGTTTCTGACACGGGGATGCGATGCAGGTTCAGATGCCAGCCGTGGGGCAGATTAACATCCGGGTACGGTGCGGCTGGCGGCACTGCCAGTGCCAGTGCACCGGGATGTGCAACCCCTACCGTGGCCCGCAGCGTGGAGGAGCCGACGGTGGCGGCGGATTAGGTGTGCGGGACGAGCTAGCGCCGGGGATGAGCTTCCCCTTGCCCTTTCTAAAGAAACCCATTGCTAGTGTTTCCGTGTCGCCGGCGAGGGGGCCAGCTTGGCCAGATGTGGACGGGAGAGGGGAAGTGGATGAGGCCCCCCCTCCCCCGCCCCACCACACACAATTGCATTAGAAAAAGGACGATGATTCGGTGCTTTCACCCACTACCAAGTGGGCCTGAGGTAGATGGCAGTGTTTAATACGATCGCGTGTGCGTCTCGTGTCCATATGAACACAAATAAAACATAAATTTAGATCTAAAATGCGTCTAGAAAAACATCAAACAAATGTTTTTTGAATTTGGGTCGGCGCATTGAAAATGATCCATTCCGAAACAAACAAATTAGCGTGTGGATTATTTGGGTGGCCACATGGAGTTGCTCTTATGCGGCAGAGATTTCTCAAAAAAAAAAAGCGGCATCGAGCGCAGAGGGAGAATAAATACTGTAACGTGGCAACGAAGACGTCATTTCGGTTTTTCTTTACGAGGGAGCGAACACGTCAGCTGATTACAAGCAGTACGCGCTGAACTACTCATATGGTCATCAAGATGTGGTTTCTTGAAGGAGAGAAAAGGTACGGACGCGACGATCTATACGACTTGGATCCAGCATTTGGGCATTCGGCGCTCCCGAGGATTTATATGTGCCATGTGTGACGCAAACTCCAGGGGGAAAAGTCAACGCTCCCAAGTCTGAATCCGCGGCCAAATATAAGACCTGGTCTCATAGAATTATTTTCTCAAATATAAGAGGCCCCGACATGAACCAGCCCCGTCACTGGTTTATCAGGAAAATTCCTATTTGACGCTCTACGCGTCACATTGTCGGGGAGGACGCACAGCCGAAACCCCCAGCACGAAAATTGGGCCGGCCCACTTTATCATTCGTTTGTTTTTCATTTCTTCTTTATTTTTCACAAAATGTTCATACTTTTGCGAAGTATTTGAATCTACAAAAAAATCCCGTGTTTCTAAAATAATTCTAATAAATTAAAAAAAGATTGTTTTTTCGATTTTTACTTTTGAAAAATATTAAAAATCATGTTTTCAAAAATTGTTCTGAATATAAAAAATGTTCCCATCTTTAATTTATCAGAACTCAAAAAATGTGCTCCTTTTCAAAATATGTTTGTGATTTTCAAAATAGGTTCGTGCTTTTGAAAAATTGTTTAGAATTTTGGAAAATATTCCCGTTATTGAATTTTGGACAGAAAGTTTAAAAAGGTTCGTGTTTTCAGGAAATGTTTGGGCTTTTTAAAAATAGTTTCAGTCAAAATATCTTCACTATTTCAAACGTGTTCGTGCTTTTCAATTTTTTGACATATTAAAATTGTTTGAGTAGTTCAAATCATTGTCCGATTTTCGAACATTATTCACTTCTTTTTTACAATTTCCACAATATATTAAAAAACTCAAAAGTATGAGGATTCCGCGTCGTTGTAAGTTCTTACCCTTGCACGCTCCTCATTGGTCGCTAACACTTGTGAGGTGCGCTTGTAGGTGTTCTCCTTAACAAGCCACATGTCCGGAGTTTGATTCCTAGTGAGGGTGCGCTGTCTTTTGTTAATTTTTATATCCCATCGAGCGATCGGCGCGCTCACTATGGCAACCACCAATGGGCTGGCCCAGTCAGCGGGTCATGCATGCGTCGCTCGGCTATTTGATGCAGAATGCGTCAAATAGAACCCTCTGTTATAAGTTAGCTTTTCTTTAAACCTGTTTTTTCCGATTTTTTTGTAGTGGTCTTAAGCTCTTTTATTCCTCTTTATTTCCTTTTTACTTTTATTTTTCAATTTCTGCTTTTATTTTCATGTTTATTTTATTTTACTTTTTTCATGTTTCTTTTTTTATTTGGATAAATATGCAATTTTTTTAAAATGTGTGAACACTTTCTGAATAACATGTATGATTTTTTTTGAAATTTAAAAATTACACATATGTTTGTCTTAATTTTTACATCCCATCGTTGCGCTAGAGTATCGAGGCACGCTTGCTACAAGGATCACAAATGGGCTGGCCCAGTCAGCGGTCCGTCCGTGCGTCGCAATGCTAGCTTTTTTGAAAACTGCTTCTTCCCGGTATTTAGACACGAACTTCAGGTCTTTTTTTCTTCTTTGTTATCTTTACTTTTTTTTATATATTTCTACTTTTATTTTTACATGTTTCTCATGTCTGTCACCTTTTACATGTTTCTTTAAAATATTATTGACAAATATGCAAATAGTTTTTAAATATGTGAATACATTTTAAATGACATTTATGTTCTTCCAAAATTTAAAATTTTAGAAATTTTTAAAATGCATAAACACTTTTTTAATTTAAAAAATATTTCCTATAAATGTGCCAACACTTTTTATAAAATGTATGAACACTTGCGTAATGTAATCTTTAATATCATTTAAAATTACATTATTATTTTTTAGATGAAGGCCATTTTTCTGTAATTACATGAAATTATATTTAATTATGTGTATACATTTTTAATTATATGGGCATTTTATAAAAACATGGAAGACTATTTTAAGTTATATGTACATTCTTAAATACATGGATATTTAATAAAAGTACTTGGACACCTTTTTTAAATGAAAATGAACATTTTGTATGAGTTTACGAAGAATATGTATTTTTTTTCGTGTGCATGCATTTTTTAATAGATGAATACTTTTAGTTATTTATTTTAATTGAAGATATATGAATTAGTGAGATATATAGAGACCATTATGTCCGCAGCAGGTTATCCATTCACAAAGCAAAAATAGGAAGAAACTAATTATTCAAGTTTGCTCTTTGCTCCCAGTCCACGTGAGAGCGAGAGATTGGCGACACAGCCTTAGCGCTTGCTAGAAACGAGGCACAGACGAGCCCCAGGCGGTTTGGTTTGAACCAAGAGGCCACCTATTTGACACTCACCAAATAGTCGAGGAAACGCCTGAACCACGTTATAGCATATGGGCCGGTCATGGTGCGTCCCATTGTGATGCTTGATTAGTTTCCTGGAAAGTATATTTAGATTGACAGGTCCAAAAACTCTAGTAAAAATAGAAAAATATAACATAAAACTAAGAAAATATTCACCTACATACATATGAATGTTCATAACCGCGAAGAAGAATGTTCACCATGTATTTGACATGTCTATAAGAAATTATATTAATGCATTGAAAAGTTCATGTGCTATAGAAAAAAGGTTCGTAGATTATAAAAGTTGTTCATACAACACGGGAAAAAATATTCAAAAGGAACGACAAAAAAATTAGAAAATGACTTAACATAAAATGGAAGTGAAAATAAAAAAATAAATGTCAAAAAGAATTAAAAAAGTAAATGAAAACCCATAGTGCTCGGCCCAGGACACACACATTCCACATGTTTGTCCAATATTTTGACGCCTTGAGCGTAAAATATGAATCACCTTGAATATCGAAATCACTAATTAAGGGGTACCCCTTGCAAAACTCACTCTCAATTTCTCTATGCTGACCACTTGTCGCAACCTGTTTTTTTTCCTTTTTTCTCATAGATTTATTTTTCAATTACATTTTAACCGTGCGTCCAAATCACAAACCGTTTTCGCTCTTGGATTTCTTGCAACGAGATCTTCGAAACAAGATCCTATGTTAATAGGTTTCAACAAAAATTCAGGCAAAAACCAAAAAAAAACTGAAAAAGACTAAGAACCGGAAAAACCCTAAAGAACTGTTGTCTTTTTAACCTATTTG